TCTGAGCCAAATTTTGAGAATCATGATCAAGCATTGATCAAATGATGTTTGTGGCTTCAAAATGATATGTTGACCAAAAATTTGAACTTTTGACTGTCAAATGACCATTTTGCCCCTATAGTTGACTGTAGTGCAATTTAGGGTTTTGACTGTGCAATTTTGAGCTGAATGCCTTGAAATTTTGTATGAGGATACTTGACCATCTTTGTAGGCATGTGAGACTTGATTGGGCCTTTGAAAACTTCCAATTCTTGTTCAGAACACAAACCCTAGTTTTGACTGTATATGGGACCTTTGAACTTCATAACCCTTGGGGAATTTTATGACCTGGCTTGGCAATTTCTTGAAGAATATGGGAGGGCAAATTTTGGGGTGCAACATAAGGCTTAAAACTTGTTCTAAACAAATGTAAGACTTCAAACTTGTTCTAAACAATTATGCTAAGCGATCTGAATTGTTAGAATAAGTTAACAATGCGTATAATTTGTAATACGAATAATAAAAAATAATGCAAACCGGACATGACATGTATCCAAGTTTTAGGTACAAATAGGCATGGAAAGTTACCTATTCTTACCTTGGAGATGTTCTGGAAGTGATTTGAGGTGGTGGTTTGGAATCTGGAACTTGAGATTCAATGGTGCACTTTCTTTGAAAATTTGTGATTTTTGAGACTTTTCTTGAGGCAAAACTTTCGTGTCATTGTAGTGTGAGGGCTTGAGTATTTATAGAGGAGGAGATTTAAGTCACCAAAGAAGGAAAAAATCAAGTGATCATGGTGTTACCAAAAATCAATGAAACATATTTTCTAACTTGCCATTTTTGAAGATCCTTGTCTCAAAAATGTCTCTCACGGTTTTGGCAAGCTTTTATGAGGTCTTGGGCCTTCTAGAAGATGTCCAAATGATCATACTCCAACATTAATCCAACTATAAGTTATTTTTAATTTAATTCTTTTACAAAAATTAAATAAAAACTTAAATAAATAGGATACAAAATATTACCATGTACCAATTGACTTAGAGGTCTTCTATCATGTCATAAACATGTTTGATCCTCAAAAGTTAGGCCCATTAGTCCAAAAATTCAAAATTGCTCAATTGAGGTTTCACGCATTTCTCAAAGATTGTCCAACTTGTGCCAATCATAACTCTCATAATTCTTGTCATATGAAGGTGATCTTGAACTTTTTGGAAACCTTGAGATGTCTCCTACAACTTTCATGTTGGTCATTTTTTCATTTGAAGTCTTTAACTTGATGTAAATTACCTTAATAAAAAATGTCTTTTGTTGACTTTTAAAATATCCTGTAATGTTTTGATCCATATCTCTCAAATGAAGCATTTTTGACCTTGAGCTTAGAGATACAAAGTTGTAGAGAATTGAATTTCCTTCAAAATGGGCTTTGGTTGATAAATTTCTGATGAAGCATGTGAAAGTTATGCTTGGTCAAAATTTAGTTGACTTTTTCTTAAGAAAACCTTAATTAGTGTTTTTTGACTTTTGATGAATCTTGAGATTTCTTGATGAATCATGATCAACCCTTGATCAAATGATGAACGTGACTTCAAAATCTTGATGTTGACCAAAAATATTGAGTTTCGACTGTGTGTTGACCATAAATGACTTTTTATTTAATACAGTTGATTTTCAATCATCTAAGTAATTGACTGAGAAAACTTGTGATGCAATTGAAACTTGACATGAGGATTATTTGAAGCATATGAGGAACCCTGAAACTCACTTGAGGCATTAGAAGCTCAATTTTCTTTGAGAAAACCAAAACCCTAATTGTAGGCCACTGTTTAGGAGGAGGGTTCATCTGATCAATTCTTGAATAGTCTTGAGTGTTTGAGACCTTTAGGAGCATGAGGAAGTATCTTGAATCAATTTGTATTGAAAAATGGGAGGGAAAATTTTGGATTACAACACTCTACCTTCGGTGTGAGTTGGTAGTTCACCTTCAGTAAAAGCTCGTGTTCTCTCTATATCTCTACCTTCAGTGGAAGTCGGTATTTCACCTTCAGTAAAAGTTGGTGTATTCTGTGTTGATCTACCTTCAGTGTGAGTTGGTAGTTCACCTTCAGTAAAAGCCGGTGTTCTCTCTATATCTCTACTTCAGTGGAAGTCGGTAGTTCACCTCTAGTAAAAGTTGGCGTTCTCTCTATATCTCTACCTTCAGCGGAAGTCGGTAGTTCACCTTCAGTAAAAGTTGGTGTATTCTATGTTCCTCTACCTTCGGTGTGAGTTAGTAGTTCACCTTCAGTAAATGTAGGTGTATCTTATGTTTCTTTACCTTCAATAAAAGTGAGTATTATTCTGTTTTTTCTACCTTCATTTTTGAGTTGGTAGTTCATCATCATTGGTTAGTCGGTATTTACCTTTTTCTCCTCATTGGACTTTTATCCCAATGGAGTTGATTTGTTCCCAGCCATAATTGCTGATGTCAAACCTTTGTTCCCAACCATAAGCGCTGATGTCAAACCTTTGTTCCCAGCCATAAGTGATGATCTCAACCCTTTGTTCCCGGTCATAAGTACTGATGTCAATTATGTGTTTCTAGTCATAAATACTGATGTCAATCACTTATTTACTAGTCTCAATGTTGATGTTTATCGTCATCCCTGAATCAATTATCTTACTGTTTCTACCTTCAAACCTGAGTGGTTAGTTTGCTATTCCCTTGCAAATTGAAATTGCTCCCTTTTTGATACCTTCTCGGAGAGTTGGTAGTTTGCGGTATTTTGTTAATCATTGTTATCTATTACTTTTCCCCATTTTATTGAGTGAATGTTATTTTGTCTCCTCTCTGGGCTTTATCCCAATAAAGTTGAGCCCTCTTTTCCCAAGAGGAGTTGATTTATCTTCAATGGATTCAAATTTATATCCCTAGAGTCGTGTTGTGTCCCAGTGATTTATTTTCTTGGTAGAACTTTTTTTAGTCGGTTGATTTCATTTTTGCTTTCCCAGTATGTATTGTTCACCTGCACGAAGTTTATATTTTACATTCATAATCATAAGCATTTCATGGCATCTTAGGGCAAAAAATAAGGTTTGTTTTGTATTTAAGTATCTTCAATCACGTCGAAATGAATATTTAAAACTTCCTATCTTTGGATAGAAGACACTTAAATAAGGGCAGCTATTATACCCCAATTTTCCCCCCTGAGATCCTATGTCATCTACAAGCATCACAGACATTTTCCTTGGAAAAATTCCTCAAGATACAAATTTGTCTTCATCAAAAATTCCTCAAATAACAAGTGCATTGTTAGGGTTTATCCTGTGTGCTCAAGATTTCATCATGATTTCAATTGAGGGTTCTTGAACTAGGGTTTTACTTCTCTCCACGTCTCAAGCCTTCTCCACAAATATGCACTCAAGATCTAGAAAGTTAGGGGGTTTCTCCTATGAAGGTGCTTGGACATTAGTATTGTTTTTTCAAAATGGTTCATTGAGATCAGTTTATCCTCAAGGCTACAAGGATCATCATTTGTTCCCTATTGATATTTAGTTGATTAAAGAGCGAGTGTAAAGCATGGCATGAGCTAGAGGATTCTTTTTTTTATGACCAAAGTCTCATGATAACTTCAATTTATTCTTTGTTTGCAAGATGATTTGAATTGGAGTATTAGAGAAGAGAATGTATTCATTTAGTGTGAAGTATTTCTTTCAATTGATTCAAGAATTGGTCCACCATGCTAAGCTCAAATTCTAGTCCCAATTATTCCAAGTATGGAATGTATGCCAAACTTCAATAAAAAGTCGATACATTTCAAAGTCCAAACTTCATTTTTATGTTTCATTACATCCAAAACTATTACAAGACTTATACCATTCATGGTTCTTTTCCAAAATCACATTCACAATCATACAAAAAATTTGGTTCTAAGCCTAATCCTAGACCTATTCTTCTTCATCTCCACATCCATGTTCATTCATCTTTTATCCATCTTGGTTTCAAGTTGTTAGACCATTTGTACGCCATATGACCATGATCGATGCCATGTCAAGAGCCTGTTCGGAAAAGGCTTTAAACCTACGTAACACAAAAATAGTGTATCGCTAACCAATACCAAACCAGTCCAGGAATTAACAATCTAAAGGGGCATGATTAAAATTTGGACACTGGGGAGCTGAAGAGTGAATTGCAGAGTGATAATTTCAAGCTGCGGCCAGTGGGAATAACTTTTCTTGTCAAGGTTAAGGAGCTTCTCAAATATTTTTATGTAAAGAAGAATGCAACAGAAGCTAACAAGAGGTCGATGAATCGTATTCAGGGGTTGAAGCTTTGAGTCAGGTGCTATAATAGTATTTCTGAAGCACAACTTTATCCTGCATAATGAAAATTAGGAGAATAAATATTCTGAAAAGAAAATACCAAACAGAGGGAAACTCTCAAAAAAATCAAGGGAGAATAACATAATTTGGGAGAGCTATAACTAACTGCCAACAACATAACAAATTTAAAACAAAATTCCTAACTGAATTTGAGAACAGATCATAACCACTGATTCTCAAACTGATCTTTCAATCCAAAGGCTTAGATTCCTAGATTTGTAACTAACTTTCATAGTCTTAACTGGATATATAACATGACTCTAACAGAATTGCAGGGGGATTGGATTTTTTTTCACGATAACAGAAAATTTCAAAGACTCACCTTTCAAATCCACACCTTAAACCTTCACTTTCCTTCTTCACCATCAACCTTAAATCAACAATAATCCGCAACAATCATCATCGGCATTGATCCATGAATATCGTCATCTTCATCACCTTCAACCTTCACACAACACCATCCTCAATAACAAATCCATACCTTCAATCTTCACCTAATTCAAGCAATTGAAATCGCATCAACTTTTCAATATCATTAATCTCTGAACCAAACTCTGCATATGATTCCTTAATCTTCTTCCATCTTCATCATGTTGCGTGATTCTTCAAACTCGCCTCAAAGTTCTTGAAATCACGATAGATCCGATTCGTTTGTCACATCAATAATTTCCATCGTAACACTTCTCTGTAATCATCATCATCACCAATCCGCAAGGTTCAACATTGCACATCAATAACAAACGCCTCAACGCAATCACACAGTTTTCCTCAAAGATATTCATCGCTTCCTGTAATAAGGACACAATATCAAGGTAAAGGCTAAAGCTGCACCATTGTAAAGATGAATGACAAAGAAGATGATGCCATGGTGGTTTACGATACCGTGAAGAAGTAGAAGGAGTGTCCGCCATTCGTGTGAGAGGAGAAGAAGTCTCCATGTGAGAATTGGGACCTTCATCCCCAAAGCTCAAATCTAATCCCTTTCTCATTTTTTATATATTTATTTTCATGTTATTCTTTTATAAACTGAAAATTGATAATTTTAATAATGTGTGAAAAATAAGAAAATCCGGTTTGGTGTTTGTTGGGTTGGACCAAAATTGAGACCCTCTAAGCCCATCATATGTATTTTGTGAAGCATGAAGAAATTGAAACAAAAAAGCTTTTGGACTCAATGATGAGCCTAGCTCATTTGACTGGATTCACTATCTGATTCAGTTGTGACACCCCTGATTTTCCTTGATAGATTTAGGACTTTTTCTTTGTTAATTTTTTCTATATTTTTTTAAAATGACAAAATCAATAAAAAAATTTAGATGTTTTTTTATTTGACTTTAGGAATTAATTCATGATTATCCGATTACTTAGAGACATGTAATTCATTTGTTTGTCAAGATTGAATCTTATGCCGGTTTATTGTGTGATATGAGGATATACTTGAATTTTCGATTGTGATTTATTTTCACATCGATGATGCCTCGACACTTATTCTGAGCATTCGATCTCTGACTGTCTGTTTGTTGATGCTAGCTTGCTTCAAGTATTCCGGGTTTCTTTGCTTTGGTTGTGTTTTTTGCGGACATTGTTGCTCATTTGGTATTATACTGCTTCTAATTTATCTTTCTGCATTTTATTGCTTTCTAGATATCATGAGAAGTAAGAAATAAAGAGCGTGCGCTCGAAGTTGCTGTTTAAAGACCTGTAGCAAGCATTCCGTACTTGTTTGCTAATTGTGTTTATGTTTGTTTTCATGGGTTGACGATCAATGATGTCACTCAATTATAATTGAGATAACGAATTCAATCTTTGCATGCTCCCTTTAGGATTTTCATTTTCCTTTGTTGATGATCGATGATGTCACTCAATTAGAATTGAGATGACAACTCTGATCTTTGCCATGTTCCCTTAGGATTGCTCGATTAGGGATAGTTTTTGAGCTAGACATTAGGATAGTTATCCATGTATGTCAACTCAAGTAGATGTTCCCCTTGAATCCTTAACATAGGGCCATCATTGCATGATAACACTAGGTTAGAGATAAGTTAGTCTCCCTTAGTTGTTTTTTTCTTTCCGCTTTACATCCTTGCATTAAAACTAAAACTCTTTTCTTTGATAAATTCCTAAAAAAAACTCTAATTTCTCTAAACTCCTTTTCAAGGTAAAAATACTAACCAATGCAAATCAATTTTGTCTTCAGACTTTTTCTTTTAAAACATTTTTGATAAGGGTATGTTTTTTCAAGTTCGACAACCTATAAATGCTAAGTGTGCAAGTGGTCGAGTATGCGTCTCTTTATGAGCTGCAACACCAAACAAAGTTGCAATCCTAATTGCAAAGATGCAAATATGGCATTATCCATAAAAAACATTGTAATCCATCAAAACTATTAAGCCGAACTATGACGCTCGGATTCCTTAAAAGGGATACATATGCATCTGGTTACGGGGCTCAGCCGAGCGAAACTTTGTAAATATTTTCTTCTTTTCCCCGCGTTTTCTTTGCATGCATTCCCTCTTTGCATTCTTCTTTTAGCCCTTAAGCATCAGATTAAACACACTCTTTGATTAGAACAATAAGAGTGGATCTCGTAGAGTACTACGGACGTGAAGGGTGCTAATACCTTCCCCTTGTTTATCAAAATTGAGTGCAAAAGGTATTTTTTTGTTCCTGTATTTTCTTTTCAAAACAATATGAAGTGTGTTGTCTTGTACTAATAATATTTAAAGTTAAATAAAACTCCTTAGCATGTAGTACTACTATTTTTAAAGTCACTATTATATATTATATAAACTTCTAAAGTAATAGTATTATATTGATTTCATAAAAAGAGAGATAAGTTTGTCATTGAAAAGAGATCACTATACTGACACACATGGAAAAATTGATTCTCGATGAATTTAATATATATCATTTGGATATAATTTAGTTTTAGTTATTTCTTTAATTTTATTGGAGTGTTTATTATTTAATTTGATTCTCTATATTTAAATTATTATTTTTATTGATTCACTTACGTAGTTAGTTTAGTTTTTAATAGAACTATATTAGAAAAAAGGCATCTACACATTCAATAAATATAAAAATACAAAAAAAAAAATATTGATTATGTAGTTTTATTAAGTTAACTAAATTTGTGGATACGTTTAATTTCCCTATTAAATATTTCATCACATCCTTGTAGGTAATCACTTAGGTCTATACCTCACATCACTACATTTGTAAATAATTCTCAAATATTTTTCTAATACATCACCTATCCTTATTTGTACACCCCCTTTTTAACAAAATTAAATTATTTTATTAATTTTAATTTAATTTACATGTCATTATTTTTAACATTTGCATTAAATATATTTTTGCATAAAAATTATTAATAAATAACTATTGAATTTTTGTTAAAACTATTTAATATATTTTTAATAATTAGAAAATAATTATTTGTTAATTAAATATTTTCTAAAAAAAATACTAATCCTATTTTTATAATTTCCATTAAATATTTTTCTCTTTCAAATTTATTTTTGCATATTGTATAGCACATCTAAGACAACTAACCCATCAAATACTAACCTTTTTTTTCTACTAACTTAATTAAATTCAAGATATTTTCAAAAAGGATTACGGAGATCTTTTTCATTAACTGCGAACTACGTCTACGATTTCGCTATTTTCAATTCAGACTTGGTTCAAGGATTAATTCAAAATATTTCTACAGTCCATAAAAAACTAACCAAAAACTTTAAACTACGAATTGAGACTCTGATTCCTCATAAGAGGATACATATGCATACGACTCAAAATCGTGGCGAGTTCCCCCAACTAAAAAATTAAAACCATATTCCTTAACCTTAAACCTAAACCCTAGTATCCTTGTGAACAAGGTAGATGAAGGATGCCTAACATCCTCCCTTCATCTGAAGTGAGTCAAGAACTTAGAATCACTGTATCATCAATTAGGGTTATTCCATTATTCACCAGTCATTAGGAAAAAAAGTAGTGGCAGCGACTCGTTATTTTTTACCGGTTATTACAGTCACAAAACCATAACCTTTAGAACCAGTATTAATACGAGAGAATAAAAAAGCAGGGGGTCAGAAATGCTCTCCACACAGAGTTTGATTTGGCAGCTGCTTTGAGGCTGATGCTAGGAAAAGGATCCTTAAACCAAGAAGGGTCAACGTTCCTCTTTACAAAGGGAGCCATAGCTTTGACAAAGGAATTAGTTTCTATGAACAAATTAATATATTTCATAAAAGTGTATCTGGTCGAGGCTTTTTGAGGAGTAAGCAGGAACAACCTTAACCCTTCTACGGATCTGGTCGACAAAGAAAGTTCAACAACCTCTAATAAGGAAGAGGCCATGCGATGCTCAAAAGTAGCATTTAACCAATGTTGCATGAGCTAGAATGGTCCAAAGAGAGTTGGTCACTTGGGATTTTCAGAGAGACTTTTGATTCTGGCAGAAGAATCACCAAGAGTATGGTAAATATAGGTCAACATGAGCTTGTTTAAAGAAATCTATCGACCCTCATAAAGTTGAATGGCCATCGGGATGAAACATTTTGCCACTTGAAAAGACCCAGGGTAAAATAAATAGTACGAAAGCCAGAGAGTAAGGAAAGCAATATGGTGTTCGTCATAAACACTTTGCTTGTTGTATCGTGATGATTTTCAATATACTGTGTGAGGACAACTTTTTCGAAGTGAAATTCATGCTCCATCGACAAATTGGGACCAAAAACTTCACCCATAGGAGACACGCCAATGATGGTTGCCACGTCGAAAAGGGTAGGCGTTAGCATCCCACAAGGAAATTGAAAAGTATTGGTCAAACCTTCTCAAAATAATATCGATGTTGGGATCATACAGGGGTTGATTTTATGAGTATTTCTCGATAGCTGGATTGCATCGAAGATGCCAGATGCTTCCCAAATAGACTTCTTTTTAGCTTGAACCCCATCGAGCCAACCCAAATAGGTTGGATTTTCAAGAGTATGGGTGGAACGGAAAGGCCTGGTAGATGGATCTACAAAGTTGAGATCTAGTGTGAAATCTTGAGAGAATGTGAGGGGTTTCACAGGAGTGTAGCAAGGAAAGAATCCCTCAATCTTTTTGGGAGCATTCTTTGAGCCTGGATATGACCCATGGAAAACATGGAGCTTTTTGGAAACTACAAATGGAATGAGCATTTGCTTTTTCCAGGTTGTGATGGTGCTAGTGTTAGTGGGTGTAGGTTGTGAAATAATCGGCAGAAGTGCGGTATCTGTAAGAGCAATGGCCATTGGGTTGGTACAAGTGAAAATGGAGCAGAATCAGAAGTTTCTATTATTGATATTCAATAGAAAATGCGGGAAGTGAAAGAGTTTTTGAACAATAAGAAGAGGTGAAAGCAAAAAGAAGAAAAGAGTGTAATCTAAAAATGGTATTTAAAGAAAACTCACACCCGTCGATCATTGACAAGTGGCACTAATCCAACGACGATGAAGCAAAGAAGTGGAGAAGTTGGTGGAGTTTTTTAAAAACCCATGTCCTAAAACCTAGAAGTGATCATGAGAAATGATGGAAGTGACATGGGAAAATTTTGTGCAGAAAGTAGTCATGATTGCGTATGAAGTCATCCAAAAAAAAGGTGTGCAGTCAGAAACAGGGAAGAGAAAATGTCAGGATTATCCCATCGACAAGGCTCTGTCGAACATGGCGTTTTGGGGGGCAATTTGTTGACAAGAATTTTTCGACTAAGGGAATAAACCTAAAGCTATGAGGATTTATTTGGATAAAGAGGCATAAAGTAGTGGAAAACAATAAGATGCATCGAGCATGGAGAGGACATCGACCAAATGAGCTAGACGACAAAGGCATGTAGATCATGGGCAACTGTCGATAGAAACAAAGGTTGGAGAAGCTAAATAAATAATTTATATTGGCGGGAAAAATTATC